TACATAGGATATTCTTCTATAAATGTTGTCCAAATTACTACTGTTAGGGTCTTGCTCAATTTTTCTGCAACATTCTATTTTGGGGATATTAAGTATGAAAATGAGTAAGTAAATAAAAACAATGGCCTAACAATTTTAATGGCTATATAGTATGTTTTATTCAACATACTATAATTTACTACCAAACACATATCAATGGGCATTTTAGTGGCTTCAGTCTTTTGTTATTAACAATAATACTTCAAAGATATCTACATTTATGTATTCACATTTGCTTTTCAAAGTATCTTAGTATAAATTCTCAGAAGTAGCATTGATAGGTCATAAACTACATTTTCTTAGGATGGTGATTACTAAATTACTCTTTAAAGTAATCCTAAATTATGCTCCCTCACCAGCAAGTATGAGAGTCCTTGAAGATTCACATCACAGAACCCTTGCAAAGAAGGACTTGTTCTCCCAGCTGCCAACTACTTCAAAATCGGCCTCCTCACCATAAGGCCACCATGCCCGCTTGACTGATTAGGCATGGGTATAAATGCCTGATCCAAGGGGGTCATTTCAGACACACCTTAGGTGTGACAAAGCTCCCCACAATACACAGTAGGCTTTGCTTGATTTATCACAGCCTGAGTCAGCCCTGTTTTTAACTCTGTATCCTTTTTATGCTTCTCTTAGCTGTTTATCCCTAAGAAATACCATACCTGCCAAACATGCCTCAAGATCAGTGTCCAGGGAACAGCAACACTTTGAAAAAAATGTAGATAACTTTGGTTAAAAAACGTACTCTTTTTTTAACTTTTTAGTGATTTTAATTGATGTATAACTTAAATGCAATAGAGTGAACAATTGAGTTCGATTCTGTGAATTAAAGCAAATAAAGTTGTACACATACAGACATCAAATATCAATTATTACAAAAATATTACCCAGAGGCATACAGTATGTCCTCTCCCAGTAAGTAATTCTCAAGAGTGACATCTATTCAGACATTACAATAGAGTAATTTTGCCTGCTTATAAACATTATATTAATAAAAAATGTGATTTATACACTTTGATATTTGCCTTTCCTTGCTTAATATTATGGTTGTGAAATCCCATGATGCTGTTCTGAGTATTGCTAGTTAATTTTGTGGTTGTTGTTTCTTTTCTGTATAGTATTGAATTGAATGATACAACAAAATATGTTTGTTGATGGACATTTGAATTATTTTCAGTTTGAGGAAATAAATAATTTTATCATTGGGAACATACTTATCTGTATTTTTGTTGGAAATATGTGATTCTACTGAGTATATATAAACCAAGGAATGGAATTATGAGTGTATATTTCCAGAGTTTTCCAAAGGATCTGATCAACTTTACACTCGTATTGATCACTTTTAAAAATTTGTTTTATCCACATATTGACCAACTCTTGCTTTTATCAGTTTAATTTCTTTTTGAGGTTCGTTCATTACATTGTTTACTAATACCTGGGGGGGTTTTTGTTTGTTTGGTTGTTTTCTTTTTGTACTTTATAGCTAGTATGACCTCTTGCATGCATATACATGTTCCAAACATGTTTTGCAGTCTTTCCTATGTTGACTTCCTTAGTAGCAGTTTCCAAAACAAGAATTTGAATACAAGTAGCTTACTGAGAAGAGTAAATTAGTAAGCACCAATAGCTAAGTTGAAAATGCAACATGAATGAACAGATTATTTGGGGGAACAACTGGGGCTTAGTTCCACTGGAGACCTGGAGAAGACTGTGTAGAACCTAGCTGAAGCTTGTCCCAACAAGAGTTGAGGAGGTTTGAGTATTTAGGCACCCACTACGATCTATCATTGGATGAGACCCATTTCTGGAGTTAACCCTGACACTTTCAAGCTGGCCTATGCATGATCTGGGCACACTCCTATTGCTAGGAAAAAGAGCCCCCACATAGAGTCATGAGTATTTTCAGAAAAAAAAAAAAAAAACTTTAGAAATAAAATATAATAAATAAAGAACCCAAAATAAATTAATGAAGTAAATAGTAAAAATAAAACAGAAGGGATAAACAAATCCAAAACTGATTCTTGGAGAAAACTGAGAAAATTGATTAAAGTCTCACATACCTAATCAAGGGAAAAAAATACAGTGATAAGGCAAAAATACCTAACATTAGCATTGAAAAGTCGGAATCATTATTGATCCTGCCAATTTTAGAAAAAGGCTATCATGAAATATATTTTGCCAAGGACATTGGAAGTATAGATATAGTGGATGCATTGTAAGAAAAATAAAACAAAGTGACTCAAAAAGAAGTTGAGATTAAAATTTTCTTGCTAATATTAAAGCAAGTGAATTCATAATTGAAAACATTTCTGTGCAGTGGAAAACTTTCCTATTTTTCAGTGAATTCTAATTGTATGCATATTTTTCTCTGGATCAAATAAAAAGGGACCCATTCCAATTCCCAATAAGAGGCTAGAATAATTTTTTTTTTTCCTTCTTGTCTTTTTTCGTGACCGGCAACGGATCACAACCCTCAGTGTCGTGCCCGTACCGGACCGGGACCGGCAATGGGATCGCAACCCTCGGTGTTGCTCCCGCACCTCGCTCAGCCAGTGAGCGGCCGGTCTGTATGTGTTATCTGAACCCTCGGTGGGAGTGCCGCCGCTCTCCAAAGCGGCGCACTGTAGCAGTGTGCCACCGGGCCGGCCCCAAGAGGCTAGAATAATTTTGATGACAAAAACAAAGGAAATACAGCGAAATACATTGAAAAAAATTTCAGAACATTTTTGTTCATAAACACAAAATTTAAAATTCTCATTGATATATTAAATCATTCAACTAATCAACAAATAAAAATAACCTATTATAGCACATTAATTTTTTTTCTGAGAAAATAATATTTGGCTCAATATCAGAGAATTCAAAACATATAAGTTGACATATTAAAATATTAAAGGGGCTCAATCACATAATTATCTTTAAAAACGAACTAAAGCAGCTTGAAAAACATTCAACATTCACTCATCAAAAGCAAACAGCCCTAAACAAAATCAAAATAAAGCAATGCAGATGATTTTGCTAATTCAAAAAATAAAAAGAAATCTATCCCCAGAACATTTACAGCAAACATTTTCAACATGAAATATAAATTAGGAAATATAAATGATTTCCCTCTAAAATCAGAAAGACAAGAATGCCCACATTTAATAGGTTAATTCAACATTATATTGAAGTTTCCAGCTATTTAAATAAAGAAAGAAAAATAATTAAAAGGAATAATATCAAAAAGAAAAAATAACGTATTTAATCAGAGAGAATGTTATATACATGTGGATAATACAAAATAATCTGCAAATAAACCATATAATTAATAAGAGATTCTGTTAAATTTGCCAGGAAAAAATCAACATAAAGTGTATAACGTACTAAGATTTAAAAATACATTTGTCAATAGATATGAAAAATAGCATCAAAAATACCAAGCACCCAGTCAATTATTTAATAAAATGTGTGCAAAATCATTCCAAAAAGGTACACAATAAAACTTTTATTATAAACACTGTAGTAAATCAAATAATTGAAAGATATAGTAAGCTTATGGTTTAGAATACTTGGCCATAGAAAGTTGCAGTTTCTTTTTAAATGTATCTGTAAATTTACTGTAATGCTGCCATAAATGCAAACCATTATAATGTTAAAATTTGTTCAGAGAGATGAGGTCCCCAAAATATCCCAATTTCATCCTAATAAAAATAACGAATTTTCGGGAGTTGCTGTACTGGGTATCAAACTTATTAGTTATAGGTACTTGTGACTATAAAACAAGAAGAATCATATATAGAGTCTAGACAGTTATCAATACATATATGAATACTGACTTTATGAAAATTATAACACTGTAGAGAAGTGTATAGTGGAGTGACATTTCAATAAATAGTGTTGGGACAAATATACATTCATAATTTAAAATACAAATTAGGCCTAATTTCATATCACAGCAAAAATAAATTCTAGGTTAATCATAAAAATATTTATGTAAAAATCAATGTAAAAAGACAATGTAAAATTTATAATATATAAGAAAACAAAATAGAGTATAATATAAAAAAGAGAATAGTGTATGGAATTTGGGGCAATATATTACGTAAATTATGAGACTATCTTTATTATTTTGGAGGAAATTATTTTTTCTTAAATAAAATATTAAAAGCAGTTCCCTGTATAAACGTACAATTAGATAAGTTGTGCTTCATGAAAAAGGAGGAAAGCTGTGCACCTAAATACATCGACAAGACAGTGAAAAGACAAATCACAGTGGGGCAGAAAATTCAACACATATATGTCATAATGGAACGTATCCTCTAAGATTCATCTGACATAAATTTCGAATAGCGGAAAATTAAGATTTATACTCTCAGAATTTATACTTATGGGTTGCGCCGAGAGAATAATTAGTCTGAATGACACAATCTCCACAGTGAATTTGTGTGGGGCAGGCACAGTGAATAGAAAAGGGCTTATGCACAATTTGTAAAGTGCTGATAATGTTCTGTCATTACGTTTTTGGAAGAAGTGACATAGAGGATTATTATTCAAAAGTACTTATCTAAATTGTTGTCATAATTCACAATGAGAGACGGAAAGCAAGTGGAACAGGAGGGTAGCGTGTAAGGATGACATATTTACAGTTTCTGAAGATTAGATATAGACATCCTCAAAGGACCGTTATTTAGCCTACTACATCCTGGGTAGAATATAAAGAAAATATTTATCTCCTTTTATTTTTTTATTTTTCTATTAACAGCTGATTGTTAATGCATAATGAGATTTAATAGTTATGGATATATAAATTATCTAACTAATACCCTGAATCAATTTTATCCCATTTTTTGAAGAATAAATTAATAACCGCCAGTGCAAAGCATAAAGCACATTTTTAAAAATGACTAGAACCTTGTGTTTCTGTGTGTGTGTGTGTGTGTGTGTGTGTGTGTGTGTGTGCGCGCGCGCGCGCGCAATTACATTGAGTGAGAAAGTAATTTTATGTGAATTAACTTCCTGACAGTCTCCTTCACATCCTTGTTTCTAAGGCTGTAGATAAGAGGATTTAGCATAGGGATCACTATGGAGTAAAACGCAGTGGCTACTTTAATGAAGAGCCATGAGCTCTTAGATTTGCGCACACTGTAGAGAACAAAGACAGTCCCATGGAAAATGGTGATGGCAGTCAGGTGGGAGGCACAGGTGGAGAAGGCTTTCCGAAGTCCCCCTGTAGAAGGCATCCTGATGATAGTGACAACTATGAAGACATAGGAGGTTAAAATGACCAGGAGGCTACAAGCCTCACTGAATATTGAAATAACCGATAAAGCCATTTGGCTGAAATAGGTGTCAGAGCAGGATACAGAGAGAATGGCAGAATATTCACAGCAATAGTGATTTATTATATTACGTCGACAATAGGATAGTTCCAAAAGAGAATATGTGAGTGTCGAGGAACTGAGTCCACCCCATATGTAAGTTCCAGCTACCAGGACAGCACAGAGCTTAGGAGACATAGCAACTGTGTAGAGCATGGGGTTACAAACAGCCACAAACCGGTCATAGGCCATCACTGCCAACATGAACATTTCCACAGTCACAAATGTGCAGGCAAAGAAAAATTGTGTCATGCATCCTTTGAAGGAGATAGTTCTGTCTTTCACAACTAAGATTTCTAGTAGTTTGGGTGTGACTACACTGGAATAACAAAAATCTATAAAGGATAAATGGGCGAGGAAAAAGTACATGGGTGTCTGAAGTTTGGGATTGACCCTTATGACCCCAATCATACCCAGGTTCCCCACCACAGTGATGGTGTAGATGGCCAAGAACACCAGGAAGAGGGGTGCCTGCAGGTGTGGGAACTCTGAGAAGCCCAAGAGGACAAAAGTGGCTCCAGCACTCTCGTTTCCCTCAGTCAGCATCATGGACCCTGTTGGAGGAAATCAGAGGGTTCATCCTGAGCAGCCGGATATGAGACAGTAGAAATGAGGGGATGCAGATGACTCCCAATGAGAAACACCCCTGAATGATGTGCAAGATATGCAGCCATGTTTTATTTTTTGGCCTTTATCCTGTGCCTCATTTGAATCTATATTTGGCCACTTACTATTGGAACACGGAATGTGCCCTCTACCCATCAGTGACTCATCTCTTCATTTATAACACAAGAAATGTGGTTATCTCATGAAGTTCATTTACAAATTATATACATATATGTGCCTACTAAATGCTTACAATATTTCTGCTCCTTATAAATAATTATGAACTAATACATGAATATCACTTAAAATCTATTATTTGTAAAGGAAGAATAAAACAAAGGAATCAGAAGGAAACACATCTTAGTTCATGGCAATAGGACAGATCACAACTGTTATGACTCAACAGAGCCTGCCACTGGAGACGTAAACTGTGTTTCTCTGAGGGTATTTCTCATTTCAAGACATGAGGGGACTGTGGTGCTAGTAAGTGCTCTCACTGAAAGTGGTGCTGAGCTGTCACTCCCAATTCTGTATGACTATTTTAAAGTGTTAACTTTTCTGCAGATATCCCACAGGAAGCAGGTAATGGTGTAAATCGAGAATAGGAATTGGAAACCATTATGCGAGGCATCATAAAAGGAGCTTTCTCTTCTAACTCCCTTCCAAGTTTTCCTTCTATCTTTGATTTACATTTCCACCAATATCTGAATCCATCAACACAAAATCTTTATTTTCTCTTTTTTTTTTCCCCCTCGGACCTTCTTTTTCCCTCTGATTCTCTTTTAATCTTAGCTTCATGCTGTAAGAAAGGCAGTTAAGGGCAAAATAAAAGAAATTTTCAAAATGTGCTGCTGTATTTATGCCTACCCAAACACCCATTACTCAGCTAGATAACCCTGGATCTTCAGCCTGCCTTCTCCCATGCTGCAAACTGATGTTGTTTAGATTCTATTTTAGAATGATCCTCAAATCCTTACACATTTTTCAAATGACCTGCTTCCAAAATGCATGAAATCTAAGCATTTCTGTCTGGATTTCCATAATAAATAATATGACTACGTATCCAGACTCTTCACTGCTCCTCCTTTTATTTCACTCACACCAGCATTTTCAATCTTTCATGCACAAACTTGTCATTTTATAATGCAATATCTTCATCACTTATCTCTTCTAACTTGAATGACCTCTTTCTGCAACAAAATCTAAGCATTCTTACCTTTTAATGACAAATTCCAGGCAACACTCTTCGAGAAATCTTTGGTGACTAATCCAGACTTCCAAAGTTTTACTGCTCTGATTGGTTTCCACCTACATGGTTTTAAAATCACAATTGTTATACAAAGTCTGACATATTTATCTACATTTTATAAGTTTTTCAGTCTTCCCTTAAAAGATTGTGAAAAATTGAGAACAAACAATTAATATTACTTTAATATTCACCAAAATGACTAACCCTCATTAAAGTACATAAATGAGTTTCCAAGACAAATCCACATTGTTTCTTAAAGATGTGTGAAATAGAGTTCAATGCCCTGTATTCATATTCTCAGCATAGTTAGTTGTATAGACTGCAGTGCTACTAAGCTCACATCAGTGTTTCTATTTCTCATTTCAGAGCTTACCGGAATTAAAATATAACACTTAGGTTAACAAGTCACTGGAAATCAGATATCCTTTTCAGAATTAGTTATTGAAGGTTTCTTTGATTAAATTAATACAATTTTGAGCATTATTAATCAAAAATGTGAATTTTTATGAAAATTGTTCTCATTTATAATTACGCAACAGGAGTTTCATTTAAATTGTATGGCAGTATAGGTGCAAAGCATATTACACTTTTTTCTAATTAAAAGGAAATCATGGACAGCATACAGAATAGTGAGTCAGCTTTGGAAACTATATTCCATATATTGCTGTGTATTTTAAAATTAACTGCATGACCTTGAGGAATCAAGCCCTAGAGAATCTTGACTGGGATTTGCAGTGAGGTACAAACAAGACGATTGGAAGAAAGTGCCATCTTCCTAATTTAGAATACAATTAATTTTAAATGGTGTGTTTATATGGGAAGGTTGCAAATATTGATCATTTTGTCATAGAAAAATAACAATAACAATCAACCCACAATTTTATTCATTATGTATTTATTACAAAATAAATCTTCCAAAATCACAGAGAAAATATTACAATCCTGTCTCAATAAAACAACACCGTATGATTAGTGAGTAGCACTTCTTCAGTTTCTCTTAGCAATCCTATTTTTGGACATCTGATTGTTTTTGTAAATACTCAGCATCATTGTACATACAGATCTGATATTGTGCCCTTGTCATTTACAATTATATCTTAATTTTCTAAATTAAACCTCATGTTGAATATACATTTTCATTGAGGCAATTGATAGATACATGGAATAATATGGTGTATTAGATTTTCTGTTGCATAAGTTCCATAGAAATGTGTCAGAAACTCTAGGGCTATATATATCCTTACAAATATATGTTAATGTGCATATTTTTTAGACAAACTCTCCTTTAGTTTCATTCTATGAGAATAGTACAGCTTAGTTCTTGAATGATACTTTTACTCAGTGTAGACTTCAAAGCATGAAATTATCTTTCTTTAACTCACTGAAGACATCTTTTCACTATGACATTTTTCATTTTTACTGATAGGAAGTTAACTGTCAGTCAAGTCACCATTTTGAGGGGTAATTTTATTTATTGCTTTTGCCCTTTTAATGTAATTTTCTTATTAGTTTTGTTTTCTACAGTTTTACTATCATACATGCATAATAATGTATATATAACTTTATATTTTCCTTTACTTCAGGAAAATTTTCAACAATTATCCCTTCAGGTATTATTTCTTCTTTTTCTTTTTTCATAAGCTTCTGGGTCTCCAATTAAATATATGTCCAAGTATTGTATCATCTACATGTTTTACCTTACGTGTTGTTCCATTTTTTGTATTACTCTGTTTTATTCTATTTTATCCTGTGATAAATCTTTCAATATATCATTTCTCCCTTCAACTGTGCTTAATCTGCTATTGAAATTTTTATTTGTTCTTAATTTCATTTATTGTATTTTTAAAATAATATTTCCTTTCACTTCTCTTTCTAAATCACACTGGTAAATTATCATGATTCTCAGTTCCCCATAAATTTTTATTTTTAAAAAATTTTGTCCTCCTCATAATAGAATGTCTAGTTGATTTACAATATGGATCCAATAATTTTAATTTTTTAAAATTATTATATTTTTCACCTTGTCTTTCTTACATGGCCCTATATATTAATGTGCTTGATAAACTTTGATTATGTACCAGATATTACATTCAATAAACTCATGTGTGAAAATAAGTTGAAGTATTCAATGATTTAATCTTCATCAAGATAATATCACTGTTTGTTTCCACCAGGCATTTAGAACACCAGCAGTCTAGTCTAACCTTCATTCAATCTCCAGTTTGAACATTTCCTGAGCCACTTAGATTAGTAACATCTCACTTTCAGGCTAATGACATTATAGTTTGTCTACTGATCATTTTTCCACCTGTGTCTATTTGTCTAGGATATCAACGCACGTTAGAGAATGTTTTCTCTGAATCTGCTGTTAGAAACTGCTCCTGACTTGTTATAGTTTGTTGATGCTCTCATTAAGATGTTTTGTTTTTCATGTTTTCATATTTTATTCTATTCTCTTAATAGTCTACATCTACTGCTTGGTGGAAATTACCTATGACTCCATTGCCAGAAGTCACACTGTTTCATCTCCATAGTTCGGTTTGAAATTTTTCTTTAATAAAATATGACTGGTCTTTTCAATCTAAGTTGATAATATCCTTCTAAAAGTAAGGTTATTGATCTCTCTCACACTTTAACATAACTAACCATTTGCTGAATTTTCTTTAGAGCCTGAAATTGAAAACTAAATTGAACACTTTGCCCAATGTAACTTTTCTATTGAGCTAAAAAATGAATTATTTATTTCTTTCATGGAATAAATATATCGTACTGTATATCCACAGTAAAAAATTTGGAAAAAAGAAAAATTTATAAAGAAGATAATGTCTGCAGTAATATTGTCAAATATAAACACTACCAATTTTAAGTTATTTTCCCTTTTTTTCCTTTCATAGATAATTTTCAGAAGTGACACTCGTACACACCAAGGTATTTTTTGCAAGTTTTTCGAGCAAGTAATTTGTTTCATTACAATAACAAAAATATTAACATATTTAAAAATTAAACCACTACTGAGTAGAAAGTACAGTGAAAAAGAAAATAAAATTGATTCATAAGCCTAAAACAAAGATATTCATGTTAACACTTTGTTTATTTTTGCCCATTCTTTAATTTATGTATTTTAATTAATAGCTACACATTCATGTATATTTATCTATTCATCATCCATATGTGGAGAAATAAAGAAACTGTGGAATTTTTTATTCAATATGTTGAAACCAATATATTGTCTTTTATTGCCTTTCCCATTCCTTATAAATCCAATTAAAATATTAATATTATTAGAAATAATAATAAAGGAATAAATCAAATTACAAAGTCACATCAATAAAGACAGTTAAAACTAGATTTTAGCAAGTATGATTTAACAATAATTTTGGGGGATGATGGAGTATAGACCAATAAAGCAGAAAAGACTTAATTACAGCTAAAAATGCCTAGGAGCACAGATCTAAAGAACAAATAAGTTTCAGAGCCCGTGAGAGGTTCAGGCTTCAAATATATGCCCTAAAGTGAAGAAAGTAAATGTTGAAGTTTTAATGAAAATCAAAGGACCAGGTCTACCCAAGGAGAAGAAAAAAATGGCATTAATTGCTGCTATTAATATCATGATTTATTTCAAAGTTATGATAATTAAGAATATGTGCCAATGGCAGATTTCATTGAAATCTAGTAAAGAGCCATGAAACTAATT